CCGGCGCTTAACCGTTGGAGGAGAGCAGCCTTTGGCTTCAAGGTATATGCATCTGCGTCGGCTCGAGTGACAAAGGTTACCCCGCCCCTTCTTTGAGGTAATCCAATTGTAAGTGCTTCACTTGTTGAGATAGGTGATGGGATCATGATCCATGTTGTTGATACCTGTTAGTATTGTGTACTACTACTGCTATTCATGCCGTAGTGTAGTAGGGAAAACGCGGGTCAAGTCACATAGACCTGTCCATTTTCTTGACCGAGTGGAACTGAATGGCTAGATAAGTTAAACAAATTAACTACTATTGTTTCTATAATTAAGACCATTCTAATTTACCAATCTAGGGGGGGGGGGCGGGGGTTTACTTTCTTTACCCTTGACAAATATACCAAAATAGGAAAAGGCACTAAAAGTGCCTAGGAGTAATTAATGCAGATATATATGCATCGGGAAGATCCAACATTAGATAGATTGAAGCTGTAACCGCCCTGGTGCGTGTGACCGGGCGGCGCATATGTACGCCCAGCGGCTGGAGGTTGGCGCAGAGGGACAATCGTACTTACTCTATTTGGGTTAACACTGTTAATCGTGGCAGTCACGGCTTCTGGATGCTTAGTATGACTGATACATTAAGCATTTCTTTTTCTATTTGCAATTCTAAGGTCGAACCTATCGTCCCATTTTCCAAACCTCTTACGATACCGTCTTTTCTTGTTCTTTTTATTATTTTATTTGTTTTTCTTCACCCCATTTTTCTATACGTTTGCCTTGTTCTTCTTCTTTGTGCGTGTTTGGCCTGCATTTACAACCCTCAATTCCTCGCGCATCGATGTGTATTCTGTATTTCTACTTCTCGTGACTTGGCCCGCAACGGCAATCCCAGGCAATTACCAGATAAAATGACAGACGTCCAAATAATCCGCGAAGATCTTTCGCGAGCCACCCAGTCTGCACGCATTGTCATGAGATGTCTCAACAGCGGTAGAGACTCTCAAGAATCGTCCCAACGTGCTCTCACCCTCCTAGCCGACATCCTGGATTTAATATATCGCTTCAAGGACCAGGTCAGCTGGGGGAAGGATAAATGGCTAATCGTACCGTCACGACTTACGGCTCTCGCAGAAATTCTTTCTTGGTTCGACATGACCATGAAGTCGATCGAGCTATACTTTCAACCCGGTGGTGTCGGAGTGGTCTATTTTCGGAAACACCTCCTAGAGAGAACATTTCTGCCACGGTTGGAACAGTACAAGGTTCTATGGCTACTGTCGTTGCAGCCAGACTCGAGGTGAGTGAGCTTTCGTGTGCCGTGTAGAACCTCACTGAGATACTGAGAGGATACGAAACTGATGCCTGTTATAGCGAGAGGCTATTCTTGGACCGGGAGATCAGGAATAGTTTAAGAGCGAGCCGAGAGGTAGAAACAGGTAATGATTTAAAATTATCACCCGATTGGGTTACACGGTTAACCTTCGCAGGACCGAAAGTCGATCTCCAATTTGAAGACGAGGCTCTGAGTACGACCAGTAAAATATCCTCGGATCATTTCATGATACTCGCGGATCTGTGCAACAGACGACTCAAGGGGACTTGCCGGTGGATATTCAGCCATAGCGAGTATAGGCGTTGGCTATTGGGCTCAATCAAGACACTTTACTGTGTCGGAGCTCGTAAGTTTTGTCTATTTCCATAGTTACCGGGGATGCTAATGTGGTCGATTGACAGCTGGTGCGGGAAAAACCTTTTTATCGTAAGTTCGGCTATCACGAATAGGGCCATTTCATACTAATACAATTCTACCTAGATCCGTCATCATTGATTCTTTACAAAAGACATTCACCACACCCGATGTTGCGACCATATTCGTCTTCTGCCAGGAAGAGAAAGAACAGACATCTTCAGACTTGCTGCGCGATATCCTGGCGCAACTCGTCTATCGCAAGCGAAGTATGTCATATGCTACCTCATCATTATATCATGCCGAAGCATTGAGCAAAGGAAGGGCATCGTCAAAGGCGTATCAAAATGCCATTCGCGCAGAGGTCAATCGGTTTTCCAAAGTCTTTTTTATCGTGGACGGATTAGACATGTTCTCGGATAAAGAACGCATTCTTAGTCGCCTTCAAAAGCTTCCAGAGCACGCACAGCTTCTAGTGACTTTGCGAGAGGTTTCCCAGGTTGGAAATGCTTCGTACGTCAGTGTTCTGGCCTCACCTGATGATATCCATCAGTATACACACTCCCGGATCCAACTCGATTCGCGGCTTGGAGAGCTCTTCAAAGACGGAATAGGTCCCCAATTGCGGCAGGAAATAACCCATATGGTTATGGAGAAGAGTCATGGCGTGTAAGTATCCATACTATAACTTAGAACTAAGGGATAACGCTAATTTTTAGCTTTTCCTGCCAGATTTCTTCTAGCAAAGATACATATGGATCTATTAGCGCGATATACTGATCTAAATCTTCTGGAAAGGGCACTTGTTCATCTACCACAAAGCCTCAGTGAGGCCTATGGTGAAGCAATGAAACAGGTCGTCAGCCAGAGCCCAAGTGCCACGCGCCATGTCTACTGGACACTGTATGCTTTCCGTCCTCTGACGGTAGAGGAACTCAAATGTGCCACAAGGGTCGCGGGAAGTGAACCAAATACCGAATCAGAGTCCTTCGAAACCTCTCTACAAACCAGGAGTGCCGGACTTTTAACAGTCGATGCTGTGACAGGTACCGTCCGTTTCATTCATAGGACTGTGAAAGAGTACCTCAACGGCACAGCCGCTAGGGTTTTCTTCCCCACTGCACCAAAGGATATTGCAGAAGTCTGTTTGACTGCCATTAGCCCCGACGAAGTCGTGGACGATTGCTACTACAATGGCGGGAACCCTACTCGTACCACAAACAGCGGTTTTCTAGACTATGCGGCAACATATTGGGGATATCACACGCGCGCAGTCGCCGGCGAAGAGCAAACAATACAGGTCCTTATTAAGGCTTTCCTCAACAAGTTTCTGTGGAGACGACCTCCTTTGAGATACGTAAATGAGGAAGAGATCATGCCCATGAAGTTAGGGCTAGGGAAGTACCCTAAGGACTGGACCGCCCTCCACATACTTGCTTTTTACGGGATTGTGGGAAAGACGAAGCGTCTCATTACGCAGGGTGCGGAGATCGATGCTAACGATAATTCATTCAAATTTACTCCGCTGCATTGCGCAGCCTACAGAGGACACGACGAGATGGTTGCTTTCTTGCTTGATAACGGAGCCGATGGCAATTCGATTACTAGGAATGGCAGTACAGCTTTGCACCTAGCTACCAAATACGGTCAACGGAAGGTTATGAAAGTTTTGCTTCATCGACGTGTTAACTCTCAAATCGCAAACGAGTATGGGGAAACAGGCCTCCAGCTTGCGGTTGGAACAGAATCGGACGAATCAACCGTACCCCTACTGGTGAAAAACAGGGTTGACGTGAACATCCGAAACATCCGAAGCGGAGATACACCACTTCACCTTGCTGTCGAATGGAAACGGCCGCGTATTATCCTGTTTCTCCTTGACAGGGGCGCAGCAATCGACATGACTAACGAAGATGGTTTCACTCCCCTTCAGTTGGCGGCGAAGGTCGATAACTGCGAAGCCATCTCGTTGCTTCTACAGAGATGCGCCAATGTGGAAGCTCGTTCACTCTCTGGGTATACAGCATTGCAGCTTGCAGCACATGCCAAAAACTGGATTGCCTTTGATCTTTTACTTATTGGAGGTGCGAATATCAATGCATGGAGTAAAAACGGAGAGACATTGCTCCATGAGCAAGCAAGAACCTCGAAGACCATTGGAGTTGTCGCAAAGTTATTGGATCATGGTGCCAACCTTGAAGCACGCACATCCCAAGGTTATACACCACTACAATGCGCTGCGATGGCTGGCAATAGAAACATGTTCTTGTTTTTACTTGAGAGAGGAGCAAACATCGACGTGGAGACCGCTAAGGGAGAGTCGATTCTTCACATCACTCCCCCTGTAAACGAGGATTGCTTGGATATTCTGAGGGTAGGCCTGGAATGTGGCCTCAACGTCAGGGCAATATCCAGTCAAGGCTGGGAGCCGCTACACCAAGCAGTCTCAGTGGGAACTGGCGTGTCTGACCTTGCGTTTGATAAGACAGCCGAGTATATATACTTGCTGATAGCTCACGGTGCCGATGTGAATGCGCGCTCTGCAGCTGACACCGGAGAGACCGCGCTGCATTTGGCCACTATGGCCTTGATCCCAAGGCCCTCTTTGATAAATATACTGTTGAAAATAGGCGCTGACGTGAACGCTATGACGGGCGACAGGAAAACAGCACTGCATCTAGCCGCGGAACGGGGTCGCGAATCGGTTTTCCGCATCCTACTGGACGCTGGTGCTGATATTTCAGCTGAGGCACTAGAAAGTGCAGAAGCTGACGATGAAAATGAAACTGTGGTTGGCAGTACGCCACTAGACTTGGCTCGCAATAATCCCTTTGGAGTCATGTGGTTCGACACCGAGGGTCAGTTGCGTCCAATGGATAAGAAAAGGCGAGATAGCTCCGGAACAATCATTGAGGATCTGAATGTTGATGGCTCGGAAGACGACACCGGTGAGTCGACTCTTGTCGGAAGCGAGCAGCCGTACATTGTGGTATGATTACATGTTGTCTTTAGCGTTCTGCTCTTAGTTTACGATACCCTTGTGTTTAAATAACATTTTTGGAGATTGGGACTGCACAAAGCTGGACTTTGAAAGTAAAAATTTACAAAACACTGGAAAGATCTTCACATACATATGTAATTGTGAGATTTTTGACAGATGGATTTGTGTTCTTCACGCTCGTAGAAAGCCGTAAATTAATAAGAATAGAAGCTAGACTAATTAGTAACCATTCTTTCCATTTTCAGATAGTTATCTTTATAAAGTGCCAAGAAGTACGGATAGAAAAAAGCCTCGTACTTTCTGTCGAGACTTCCCGTCTTTCAAAGACTCTCCACTTTAGGTGGTGTGTGTAGCACATAGTATACAACGCATACGGTCCAATGCAAACGAGTATACTGGCTTCCGAGTGCCATATTTGAATGATTACAATTGTTGGAAACAGGTGTAACTATGAATCATAGAGTTGTTATGCTGTGCGATTGGAGCATTTGGTATAACGGCATCATCCAATTCCGATATGGCATCGCATGAGAGACGATCGTCGCTCACTAGAACTGCACGCCCACGAAGGGCTGTCCGGCCATGTGACTTGTGCCGTATACGCAAATCGCGATGTGTTATCCCACCGGGGCTCTCACGCTGTACGGTTTGCCAGTCTCGTCAAACAGCATGTACTTTTGATCAAGAACCGCCGCCTCGACCTCCACGCTTGCAGTCAGGTAGGAGCCGCGAGTTGCAGCAGCAGTCGAATGAAACAACTGCACTCCCAAGTCAAGTGTATCATAACCTGGCTCCTAGTACGGGGATCCGTCAAGATGTCTCCAACCAGCCAAGGGTTAGCAATGCCAAGACCACCGTTGACCGGTCTCCGGCTTCCTCGTCTACCTCAAGCTACCAGAGCCCCTTAGTGCCAGGAGATCTAGCGGAAGAGCATGATGTCGAAGCTCAGAGTCCTCTACTTCCTGAGGGTGTCTCATGGAGGGACGAAGAAGATGGCGGTGGCTCGTTGGGGCTCTCCAGATCAACCTTTGCAGAATTGTACGGGCTCACGAGCGACATGGAACCAATCCTTATGGTAAGAGCAGCCCATTTGCAGAGAGAACCACTATCTAACTGTGTCTCAGCGACATCGACCGTATGATTCTCAATCGCATCAGTTTTGTCTTGAAACCCATAGCATTCGACGCGTACTGCAGGAAGACATGGGCATGCAGTATCCAGTAACGTTTCACGTCGTAAGAGACGATAAGGCAATTGGCCACCAGAATAACGTTGAGCAAGATACAATTGAGCGTTGCGTTGAGCCATACGGTCCTAGTCTGGTGAATCTCTTTTGGAGAATAGTGCACCCGTGTTATCCTATTATAAACAAAGGCAAGTTCATGGAGCGATATTTAACATCTTATCGTGATGTTGATGCGCCAGTATTAGGGGCAGTGTATCTTATTTCCTTGAATTGGTGGAACTACGACCGAGAGCTCAGCAACAAACAGGCGCCAGACGAAGCATTGCTGAGGGAAAGAGTTCTTAGAGTGATCCAGAACAGCTACCATAGACCTAAGCTGTCGTCAATTGAAGCTACCTTACTCTTAGTACAATGCAAGCCAGAAGATGCCTTAAATCCGGACCATACGTGGACCTGGGGATGTACTAGTCAAGCACTGGCAATTGGTGAAGCATTGGGTCTTCATTTGGATGCCAGCTCTTGGGAGATCCCTGACTGGGAACGTGGCCTGCGCAAGAGACTTTCTTGGGCACTGTACATGCAGGATAAGTGGACCGCCTTAATGCATGGACGACCCAGTCATATTCATGTTGACAACTGGGAAGTCAAAGACATTGAAGGTAGTGATTTCTATGATCTTGGTGATCAAATGAACACCAAAATCGACGAGCCTCCCATAAATGACGTTCAGACGGGAAGAAAAGGATTTGTGGAGATGATCGCACTCTCAAAAATTCTCAGCAAGATATTAACAGACTTCTTTTCTCTACGTGCCAGCAGGTCTCAAGATACTGTTCAGCTTTATCAACGAGCGCTTCCAGTCCTAGAGAAATTACACCTTTGGCGCGAAAACCTTCCTCACTCACTACTCATGGACAGGCAGGCCCCTCGGCGACTATGTGCTAATGGTGTGTCATATTGCTCCTTTATCAATATTCGGCGTTAACGAACAAAAGGGTTCCTCCACTTGTCCTATCATAGTCTAGTCCTGACACTTCTGCGAAGGATTACTCGTTCCACTGCACTTGCACCACTTTGCTCCCATGTTACTGTCCTAAATGACACTCGTAAGTTAGCCAGCAACTCAGCCGAGGCGGCAATGGCATTTGTCCGCTCACTACGTCCGGATCATTTGGAGGCTTTCTGGTTCTTCTGTAAGGCTTGTCTTGTATCTATTGGTTCCTTGCACGAGAGCTCCCTTCACTAACAATCTCTCCACGTCCAGCATCAGGATTCAACTTCTCGTTGATTGGATCCTTTGTTACCCTGCTTCTAGTAACATCACGCTCAGAAGCTGAGAGGGCCCACTGGAGAGAATGTCTGAGTGATTACCTATGGAGCCTCCGTGTTATGGGTAAAGGAAGCGAGCCCATGCGCTATGCAGTTAACCGTCTTGAAGGAGCAATCCTTCGGGGAATGGAACATGCCTTGGCCGTGCAAACTGCACCCACACTTCCAGAGCATGTTTCAAATGAACGAGTTGGCTCTCATACAAGACTATTTCCCCAACCATCTCTAGAATTACCACCTGCCAACCATCAGGTCTCTGGCATTGACATTGGCTTCCACCCAACCATATTACCTGCCTCTTCCCATACACCAGGCGATTGGCTTACACCTCTCATCAGTGAAGATTTAATCAACTTGAACTTGAAGCATTTTGACTGGCTCGCAGGAAATTGATGTTTGACAGGGCATACAGGGCACTATAACAGGGCTCCCTCAAATTTCTTTCTCTTTTTCTTTTCCTCGAGAAGATACCCCTACATTTACTATCCAACATAATTGTGGACGCTGTTCCATACAAGCATATACATTACTATCATGTGGGACTATATATCAATTTGTATATGTTTTGATTGTTTCTTATCTTAGTATCTCTCCCTCCTTCTTCACAAAATACTTGGCAAAGTACAGGGCCACCATCTGTCTTAAAAGGTGGGATTTATAGTGAGGGGGAGTTACCAATAACCGAGAAGAATGAGTTAAAAGTGACCTCTCCATCATCCACAAATAATCCATATCTCAAGTTCCCTCCTTTACCCCCACAGTGTTTTGGTTGAAACCGATAACTGATCGCTCTCCCACCCACAAACACTTCCAAGGTATCTCCTATCATGAGAACTTTTACGGCTTCTTCCGGTCCAATTGGAACGTTATCGTGCCGGACTAGCTCATGTCCATCAACTTCTCGCGGAAGGTACAACTTATACTGATCAGCCCAGAAGTCGTCTAGGGAAGGAGGGCAAAGAGATAATGATATAGTAAAGAATGGTCTCCCTGACCCGGCTTGTGCAGGCGTGAAACGCAACCAATAGCCGGAAAGGTCTGCATCTGCGTGAAAAAGTACACCAAACGATGCAACATCACTCGAAGAGAACTTAAAGGACATGAGAGTCGGCAATGACGAATTTGCGCCAGAATCTGACGATGTAGGATATAGAAAGTGCTTCTTGACTGCTCCAAGAGAATTAAGCTTGACGGATGAACGCTGGAAAATAGGTTCTGATCGAAAGAGCTCTGACAGGATCTCCTCAACTGGCTCAATTCTTAGAGATCCATCAACAGTAGCAGTTACCTGCCGCGGATACGCCATATCTCCTCCCCACATCCACTTCTTGTCTTCCTCGCAACGATCGGCAATCCAGCCAAAGTACACGCGCTTTGATGGATCTCCTGCCTTGGGGCAAGATTTTGCTGCGTACCATCTTCTTCCATCCCAACGCCCGGCAGAACCATCTTTAGGCTTCCGGAAGGGGCCACGCGGTGAGTCGGACATGCGGTACACGGTTCCTGAGTGAGGAGAAGAAAATCTCGAGTAAACGAGGTACCAATGACCATTGGGAAGTGTGAAGAGTTCTGGACATTCAGGACAGAACATGTCATTTGGGGCAAAGAAAGGTTCTGGTTCCAAATGCCAAGTGTTCAAGTCTGTCGACGTCAACAGAGCAAGGCATCCCCTGGTCCAATACGGGCCTTCCAAGAGGCGCGTAGCCACTAGCATCCAATATTGGCACTCATCCTGATTGAAAAGCACATACGGATCACGGAAATCAATATCTTCGAATAAAGCAAGATTGGCTACTGTCTCATTGCTTATCGAGATTGGCTCCGGGAATTTCACGAATGATGACCCTTCTATATCAGGAGACGCTGCATGAATGATCACTTGTTTTCCATTCTGGGCCAGGTTATATCCTGTATAGAAAATATGCATGTTTCCATCAGGCCCAATAACTGCTGAACCGGTCCAAGCACCATCAGCATCATGGTTTGCAGAGTCCTGGTCTGGAACGATGGAAGGGGAGTCATCTCGGCTCCATTGGATGAGGTTCCTAGAGCGTAGGTGCGACCAATACGAACGAAGCCTCTCAGGATGATGGATAGTATGAGGCGGTGTTGTCAGATGAAAGAGGTGATAGGTGTCATTAACAAGGATTGGGATCGCATCAGCAGATCCCTGGCTTAGGGAAGGCCGTCTGAAGGATGATGGCGATACTCCTGTGAACGACACCATCTCGATGAGGCCTGTGAGGAGCGATCGGCCGAGATGCTTTTGAAATCTCAAAGTTTGAGATTCAAAGACACTGTGTGTAGGGGGATAATCCCTTAAATTATTTGGGACTAGCTATGTATTCCAACAGACGCAACCTGCAACCCGAATCACACCGTCATCTATACTTCACGCTTGTCGCCGGGCTCGGCCACTTTTCGGCACGAAGCCCTAAAGAAGATGCCGCCTTGGCGCTCATGTAGCCAATCGGCATCGTCTATCTGCTCACGGCGCCGGCGACGTCTGGCGTTGTGCCCCATGGGGAGAGAGGACGTTGGACGTGGCTCAGGGAGAATTTCTAGACCTCGATCCCAACGGCTGTTTTTAAGTTTCAGACGGTGTGGAGTAAATCCAGTCCGTATAGGAATCTATCAAGTGTTCCATAGCCAGTCCCCAGTTCTGTCATCGCGGTTAATTTTGCAGAAGCTTCTCATGCGTGCCGTCGGCATCTTGTCTTGATCTAACCATTAACTTGTAGCGTTAGTCCGACATACACTGACATGGGTTACATAGTACTTAAAAAGTGGGACCCCACTAGTCTTCAATTTTTTTCTTTATTCTACAATTTGTTCTCTCTTTCGAGAGCTCATGTCTAGGTTCACTGGTATTCCCTAAAAAGAGCTTTCAGTCATGGCTCACATCAGAAACTTTTATGCCTGGCTTTTTTGTGCCTTTGCCGCATTAGGCGCATGTCTCTATGGCTACGATGGTGTATACTTTACAGGAGTGTCAGCCATGGACGTCTTCGTTGAACATTTCGGTGAGAGGCAGTCTGATGGGTCATACGCCATTCCGGCCTCAGGCCTTTCTCTCATGACCTCGGTCATCAACATCGGGGAACTGGTGGGCTCTCTAACGGCAGCGCCACTTAATGACCTTACAGGCCGCAAAGGAGTGTTTTTTATTGCGTCGATCATGGTTGTGGTCGGTGTGATCTTACAATTGGCAACAGATCACAAGCACTCCATGATTATCGGCGGCCGGATCTTGCTAGGGTATGGTGTAGGGAACTTCTCAGCGACATCCCCTCTTTACATCGGAGTAAGTTATTCCCTCGCGATACTTTAGGTAAAACGTATGGTTATTGACGAAGATTACAGGAAATTGCTCCCACTCGAATTCGTGGCCCTTTGCTCATGTGCTGGCAGCTGGTCCTGTCGATCTCCCAAATTATTGCCGCCGCTATTAATCGCGGAACACAAGGTATAGACAGTACGGTAGCATATCGTGTTCCGATGGCCGTACAGCTTATCTTCCCACTGATAGTCCTAACCTTCCTTTGGTGGGTGCCAGAGTCACCACGCTGGTTACTCCGCAAAAACAAAGTGGAGGCAGCCAGCAGATCATTGCAAAGTGTCAATCGCGATGATAAGTCCTACGTCGTGGAGGATGACCTAGCTACTTTGCAACGCGACATAGACAATGAGAAAAGACTTGCAGAGGATTCACGCTGGTTGGATCTAATCCTGGACCCCATCGAGCGACGCAAAACCATATACTCCGCAGGTGCGCTCGTCGCACAACAGGTGAACGGCATCCAGTGGTTTTATTATTTTGGCACCGTCTTCTCAAAAGCGATTGGGCTTTCCGATCCGTTTCTGATGACGTTAATTGTTTTCATCATTCAAGTTGTCGTCGTGTTGTGCGCGGTATTTTGCGCCAACAAATTACCCAGACGCCCTCTCCTACTCATCACCACAGGCATTATGGGCGTTTCTATCTTCGTAGTTGGATGCTTGGGTATCCCAGGGGGAGAGGTCTCCCACACATTCGGCAAAGTGATAATCAGCTTCGTCATCATTGAAATTACAGCGTTCAACTTCGCCTGGGGACCTTTAGGCTGGACAATTGTAAGCACTTACCCACCCATCTGTCCATCTCCCTGAGTTTACTAACGGTACCAGGCCTCTGAGATGGCCGTTGGTCGTAATAGAAACAAAATATATGCTGTCTCTGTAGCCTGCTTCTGGGTAAGAACCACAATGGAACTACTCCCTCGATGATCACCTAGCATCATACACTGACAAAAACAATAAATATAGATAACTGTCTGGGCAATCGTCTTCACTCTTCCATATCTATATTACTCGGCCAACCTCGGCCCAAAAACGGGTTTCGTATACACCGGACTCTGTACTATTACCTTCGCATATGTTTATTTCTGTGTCGGTGAGGTCACTGGTCGCTCGATGGAGGAGATTAACTGGTTCTTTATTAATGGAATCCCGGCGCGGAAATGGCAGGATCAGCCTTTCCCCGTCATTGGAGATTCTATATCTCGAGAGAATTCCAAATCAGAAGAGAAGCCGAGGATGGTGGTTGAGGCTTCTAGCCCATAGCTGGTGGCTCTTTTAACGTATACACTTTTGTACAAGATATATTTCAACAGCGTCTAAATCAACGTTTCTGACTGCCGCTATAGGCCAGTGTGTATAGATAGATAAGGCTCTTAATTCAGAACACGCAGATCGCATCATGACATTACAAAAGACAGGATATCTAAAACACCCAGCGTGTAAAGGATGACTGTAGGATAGCAACAGATCTACACACAAGGATATTTCTGTAACCTAAATTGTTTAACAACAATTGACAAAGTATATCTCTGGTCATGCTGACCATAGATATCGACAGGCGCGTGATTGCATGTGCGGTAAATTAGCGCGAAGACTCAGAAAGCTCGTAGCTAGTCCGTTGAGTTGCAAATAGGAAAGAGTAAAACATTCTGGCCATTCATAGCAATTGATTGAACGCATACGAAAAGTTCGGCGGAATATTCAGCAAATTCAGGTCCGCGACGTAATATTCCAGGTTACCAGAAGAATAATAACACTTGAGCGCTGAATTCAGAGCGGAACTGGTGCGTGATTGCAACGCAAGTTAGTGCATACTAGACTGTTTGACACAGAACGCACGGTTTCAACTCCACCCTCTCATGTGCCTTTGACAGGGGCTTGTCTTGTTTCGTTAACAGTGAGTCTGTGAAGCATAGATACTTAGTAGCGTGAAGATTCCGGGGAACGCTTGTGCTTCAGGTTGAGTATTGCGTACAGAGCCGGCGGCAACAGGAGTGAAGACAAAAAGAGAAACTATAGGAGGATGGAGCTTGGTGTAGAAGGTATGAAACTACCCCACTATGTTTATATGCGTAGCCTTGGTGTTGAGTTATGTAGCTACATGCAGGTAGACGCTGAGCATTCTTCAGGAACTTGAGCATAGACACGGAGCTTGTCAGTTCTGCACACCATTCCAGGGGCTACATCTCCATACCGACCGCTGATCGTTGGTAGTATGTTCAATGAGAGCCAAGCAAGAGCTGCTTTGTAGAATTCAGGGTGAGATGAGGCCCTGAAGAAACTCAATCCCTTTGTTACTATTGGGCCGGGGCAAGACTTGAACAGCTATTGGGTTGGCGTCACTTGAGACAGGACAATTTAGCTTAGTCTTGGCTGAAACACAGACTTCTGTTAACCCAATCTGACTTAAGCGCTGTGGCCCCTGAATAATGGTTTTCATGGTTTTATTGTTCGAATCACCGTGGCTGGAAGTATCTGAGGGTCCTAAAAGAGCCGCGCGGCCTTCGACGGACGAACCCGACACGTTCAGGAAGCGCGGTCCTGATCAGTGACCTTTAGCGGATCTGAGCCACCATCATAGAGAAGGCTGGTAGCCTCAATGGATTCGTGGAACTGATGCAGTGGCATTGATTCAGAAGGCGCGCGATTATTATACGCAATGGCTTGTATCATGTTGCCGTTGTTTGTCAAAGGGGTAGGAGGTCTGGGATGGGAAAAGATAAAAGGCGACGGGTATCACCAGCACAGTGAACTATTCATCATCATTTTCTCCTTCTTCATCTTATTCTTCTTCCTCCTCCCCTCAAGCAAAAGGTGATCAGTTGGGTTGATCCCGTGCCTTTTTTACTACTTTTGTCCAACAAAGCAACATATTGTTTCTCCGATTGTTGATCGATCACCTGAGAGATAAGCGCCAGCACAAAGCATAAGCATAGGACTCGGCCATCAAGCATCACAGCTGCCGAACCACAAAGCTCTGGATCACCGGTTGTTCTTTTTTTACACATTCTTTGGCAGGACCTAAGAAAGTGGTAGATGTGAGTCGATGTCGCTGTTGCTATTTTTGCTATTTTGGATTGGGGGCGTGAGCGAGCTAACCTAACCGGGATTAGACCTGACGCCAATCTACAGAACCATCGCAATACCCTTCACGTACGGATACCGTTTGATACGACTATCGGTGTATCTTACCGTCTGTTTCCATACGAACCAACGCTGCGCCGTTTAGTTTAATAGAGATACAAACCTCCTCCACGATCCATCTTTACCTGCCCATAGACGCCCCTACCAGTTAGAGGCTCTTATTTCTATTTTAATCTTTCTCCTAACTGTCTTCCACAAGACTTAAAAGCTCGACTGCCCGACAAGCATCTGTCGCTGTGTTATCCTTCTTGACGCCATTGACCATCCATCTTCGAAGCATACAACATCTTTGGAACCTTCCTTCTATCAATCCCTCTTATACATTCTCCACGTTACTGTCTTTTGGTCTTTCTGTTTATCATCAATCTTATACATCGACCGAAAGCATAATGGCTCCCCGACCTGACCTCTATCCTCTCAAAACGACCAAAGACATCATCTTCCCCTCAGAGCTTCAGGAAGCTTCCTCGACAAACACCTCTTCGAGCGAAAACGGACGTGAGGAAGGCAGTGGACCATCAGTTCCACCTCCTCTAGCCTATACGGAATTCCTCAGGGCACTTAGCCCAGCTTTTGGAAGTCCAGATGGCCCAGACCCAACCACTACACGTTGGTCATTTGGCAGACCCCTAGGCTCACCTGCTTCAGTTCCATCAAGTGCATCTAGCGCTTCTTTTCAACATGGTGATGATGCAAGGGATAGCTCTACACCAGTTCCTGCTTCCCCGGCTGCTCCTCCACGGTCTGCCAGCTGTGTTGGCTTCGCACGACGTTTCCGTGTGCCACCACCATACATTACTTATGGCCCGGAGACTCCTCAGACACCTTACGTGCCCCATACACCAATGTCGCCAGCCGATTGGAGACTTAGGCGAACCGAGTCATCAAATGGCGCCAATGGAAGGACCATCACCGTCCAACATATCATCACGCATACAATCACCTTGAAACACGCCCCTTCGCTCGACCCCGCACCAAGGGGTAAGCGTAGAAGGACTCATGACTCTGAAGACAACTAGACTGCTTTACGACATGTTAGTTTTGACGGGCTGAGTTTTCGGCTACAGTCTAGCATAATAGTTATGCGCCTTGATCATATTACGTTACGAACACAGGTTTCCCTCGCATATCTGATTGTGTTGGATTTGATCTTGTTTTTAATTGGTGTTAGAAAGGTCCCCAACATACCCTGGTGGTATGAGGTGTATACAGCGTGCGAGCAGATGGAGTTTGAGATTGTCTTGGCCATTTAATGTTATTGATCGAAAAAGCGAGCGGCTTACGCACAGTTGACGACGGATTGCGGTTGCTATGCTTGGGCTGAGGCGCTTGAACCTAGGCGTTGGTTGTTTGTGATTATTGTGACTAGCTGTTAGCCTATTGAATTGAGTTACTTGCTGAGCCTACCTTGTTAGCCTTGAATCCTCCGAGAACCTCTGATTGCTACCGGAGAAGCTATTGGAGATTATGGGGTATTGTGCTGCTATGAGCACCAACCATTTGATCTCCAGCTACTCCCAACATGTTGAGAATGTTAATAATCATTGACTTAAACCTCAGTCTGGGCGTGGTGCGGATAGTGATTGGATTTCGCTGCGATATTGAGTCCGCCCTAAAGCTCAAAGGATTTCTAGCGCATCCAGTCGGAGGCTTTTCTTCCCACGTGTCAGCCACATGATCCTTCAACGCTATGATCCAGCAACTTAGAGTGCTAGTCGTTGTCTCCATCAAGATTTAACAGCCGCCATAGCACGGAGCGGGCGTTATGCCCCGATGGAAGGATTCTGTCTTGGCTGCTTCGCTGCTTCGAAGTCTCACCGCCACCAAATGCCAACACAGGCTTGTAATGGGGGAAACATCAAGGTTAGAGCTACACACTCAAATCTATGCCTTACTAGGGGGTATTCGGACAAAATAAGGAGAACCAACGGAGATACGTAACTACTAATGTCGACATATGACGGTGCTGTTGGAATGCATGTCTTGTAGGTATGCATGTATGCATTGTATGGATATGTGTTTTATTACATGTACATATGTATTGGTTTACATGTAATACAGTACCAATACAATATCAAAATACCAGGTTTTTGAGCACCTAGTTTCTACCGTGTCCCCCTTCCAGATATCAAATGTTTTTGATGTGACTCAGGATGCCAATGCTACTACTGCTGTTACTATTAGCTACTATCTTGAGATATCTATTCTCGTCTACCATGCGGCCATCTCCTAGGCCATTTCCACCCCACATACGTTAGAAGCATAGCAAGAAAGCAGAAATGCGTCCGCGGAACGGTAGTTCTTGCAGCGAATGACACACTACGATTCAAATCTAACACGGCAAACTATTGTGATAATGATACTAAAATAGATACGTGAGTGCCGCAGTATACTCCCGAACCCCTGCATGGAGTGAGGTCTGGCAGATCTGAAGTCAAATCCAGGGATCGGCTTGTATGCAGCAAGGACATGGGTCAAGGCACACTAGAATTCTTCATTGCGGGTGGGTCCGATGATCGACCTAATGCACAGCAGTTGCTTGTCTAATGCTCTCATTGGACACCTTATTGGGTATGAGATATTGGATAAAGGGAGGATGAAGACTGCGGATTGGACTCATGGGAATCCAACTGTCGAAGCGCCGGTTCTACTCTCCAATTGCTTCGGAAACGGGATAAAAAAAGAAACAGGCAGAAAGAAGAGATCCACCGGTACTATCACTTGCCGGCCCCTTTCCTCTGCCTTTCCTATGAGCATTGCATTATGTGGCAAGCATTGGGTGCTATGTTGACAGTGAGAACAGACCCCTGTATATGAACAACAGAAAGACCCTCGTGTCCTTGCACCATCTACCAATCATCGGTTGAAGTTTGCATTCAATTTCAATTTAGGTCCCGCAGAATCTTTTCCATTTTGGTATTAGTGTATTTCTGAAGCAACATGGTTGGTTAAATTCTCCATTACCATGCGGGAAAGTAACCACTCATCGAGGACAGCGGGACCAGGATGTTGCGTCCCATCCCGGTGCAAGCGCTAGTTGGGCAATCGTGTGATTCTACCTTGCAGCTTTCGGCATGAGCTGCGCTTAATGTGTGCTATTTTTGGATCTATTTTTGGATCCCACTGCCAAAAAGTCCCCCGTCAATTGTCACCGTCCAACCACGCGGGCTGTCTCTACAAAGCGCGAACGTCTTCTCCCGGCAGGTTTGGACGTACTATTTCTCGTCCAACCATATGTTTGCATTTGGATAAGATATTCTATTTCTAGATATCGACCTCCCCAGCTCGGCGACTAATGCAGTTCTCATCACTTGGTATCAGATTTAGCATGTCGTTCATGCCCCCCTCCAGACATATCACCGTTGAAAGCTGTGCATAAACGCCAGACCCCACAACAAGCTTCTGAAGAATCCATTTTTAGAACAAAAAAGGGCAGTTATTAACCTGCCTACGTCACGGGAGCTTCCATCTATCTGCAATTTTCAATAATGATCTTCTCCCACCACCTCCTTGGACAAATCAACGAGCCCGCTCTTCCCAACATCATACAAGCTAACGTAGGACACTCGATTCACAGGCCGTCTCATTTTCCGCTACCCTAATCAGCCCAACGCGGAGAGAGATTTCCACTTCGCACCTCCTTGTCCTTCTTTCTGTGACGCCTGTAATCATCTTCTTCCAGCCGCCGTTCTTACGGTGTGCTCCACTTAATGTCCATTTCCAAGCCGGTGCTTCTTTTTTTGGCTACATCTATTTTCCCTGTCAGCTCGCTTTCTGCTGCCTAGGTATGTGATCGGGTTGCCAGTCCCCACAATGGGGAGCACCTGCAGATTGATCGGCTCACCTCCTGTCTAAAGTGAGTTTAATGGGAAGATATTTTTGGAAGCAATCTCAATCTCAACCTCACCTCATGGGTAGTGATGGTTGACTCGGGATGCGATACAACTTATAGGGAGTTGTGACAATTAAAGTGAACAGTATGGGGAATTCGGTTTCTTAATTTACTTCATGCACAAAACCTCTTTGGCTACCAATGCACTCTAGAAGGTTTTCAGGCTGTTAGGAGTACTGTACATCCAGTATTAGATGGGATAGTATACTAACTTCTCAAACCACGTTCTTGGCATTGACCGCGGAGCGGAACCCTTAAATCAAATCGAACATCAGTAATTGAACTACGTAGCTCATTAAACTAAAGTGAATGTTCAAACATGAACGGACCAAAATAGAACGCCTAAAATAAACGCCCGAAGAAATCAGGCCGTCCAAACTTTCCCTTACTGGAGTCATCGCATATATCGACCCGGTACGGAGTATACAGGGTTCCAATCCATCCTATTCTTATCCCACACAGCCTTATGCACGTCAACCATTTTCACCTTGGCAACCACCATTATTACATTCTCAGAATCTCTCCTTTGACCTCTCATTGGTTTAAACAAAATGAACAATAAATGACAACAATAACACGCCCGTCATCACGCTCTACACCCACTTTCCCAACTTACTAACCTAACACCCAACCAGCCTATCAGTAGCGCAATGCACCACACCCGAACCCTCACCACTATCACAATGTTAATTTTAGAAACCAATTCCAATCCTCCACAATGCTTTCCCTCACTTTTCTCCATCCTTTCAGCCCAAAAATAACATATGCACCTCATTTAATTCGGTCTCATACTCCCAAGCTCAATTGTCCAATCAATGACCTCGTTGTCGCTGTTCCAACCCCATCGTATGGTACCGTATCGTACTTGTCGTCTCGTTTTATCCCCATACATGGTATATTGCATCCTATCTTACCTAGTATAATGTGCAGATAGATTTACTCCCCCCCCTCTCACCCCTTGATATCATTTCGGACCCTGACCTCCATCTCGCATCCGTTGATCGCTTGCGTAGGTTCCTAAATTAGGCTCTTAGAGTCGCGCCTTTCAATGCTCTTTGTTGTTTCTTTGCCCGCTTGTGCAATCGGAAACAAATAGTTACATAGTGTTCATGGCATCCGTCCACTCTGCAAATTAACTATTTGAAGCAAGAAGTGTATACGTGTCTCCGCCTTGGATCTTAGGTGTATGACGTATCGACTTTCGTGATACTAAGACCGATAGGTTAAAGTAAACGCGGGAATTCGGGGTATTCAATGCGACTTTTGTCCGTCGAAGGTAAGGATGCATGACATGATCCTTGGATCTTGAATTATCTATGCTCTGCAATATCGTTGCCATCCAGGCCAAGTGCATATGTTCAATTGATACTGAAGCTTAGTCATCGGTACAGTGTTCAGGCAATAGACAGCGACGGCTAGGGAGATATCATTAAAAATACAGAAATCTAAAAGACAAGGACGCGAGAGATCGAGGAATGTCTATTAGATTAACACTCTGTCTGCATTGACCCTAGAATAGAATAGTTTTCATGACCAGGTAGACGTGTGGGAGGAGATGGTTTCGGGTTTCGAAAACGATCTTGATTTAGACATGGCATATCACGAGACAAAAGCATAACACAAGGAAATACACGAGAGACGAGGCTGCATTAAACAGACCTCATCTTGTGACTGCTCGCCAAAGGACACGAGTAGAAAGCCGTAATTCATCCAGATTTAATCCGAGTCCCGTCCACCATCCAGTATTAAGAATATAAGCTGATATATACACAGGTACAACCAGTAAGAACAGATGAAAATATTACAAAATGACCAAACCCGTGGTATCATGCTGCACAGTCATGGTGAACAAAGTGGTATCATAAACAATCAAAGGGAGAAAAAGGGATATTAGTAGCCACTCGAGAGGTGATTAAGGGGAAATAGAAAACAGATGCGACGAAATAAGAAAAGCTTATAAGCGAGTCATGTCAGTGCGTTCATTCTTCAGTCAATGCGTCATCGCCGGTCTCACGCCACTCCTTAGACCGTTCGGTCAGTCGTCGAACTCCAGCCACCCTCTGGGCCCAGTGCGCCTCGGAGGGCGATCGGAAGGTGTACGCCCGCTGCGACGAAATCACGCCGATACCCTGTAGTACAGCCTTGCGGGAGTCCCGGCCAAACACTGCAGGATGATTGATCCACTCAAGCGCTGCTTTTAAATCACCATCCAGCGCCTGCATGGTTTGCGCATCAACCGCAGCTACTGGTGCGATCGTGGCTGAGTCCGAGACAGCTGAGTGGCTATCGGCGAAAGTGGAAGATCTTGGAGAAGTGGATGTAGGCGTGTCACCTCTGCTGCCAGAGTCGCTGATGCTTGATGGTTTAACAGCCCCAGGTGGGAGCGGGGGAAGGCTCCCTTTACCAAGACCCTTAAGAATACCGCGGGTCTCGACCAATAAGTGCTGCGCACGATCGTGATGTCCGCGCGACACCAAAGTCAATGCTCTAGTTAGCATATCGGAAGTGAGTAGC